TCTGATGCTTCCTTGGAGAAACATTCAGGAACTCGTGGTACTGTTTAGGTACCGACTCCTCGGCAGTCTTAACGACCTTCTTCTTGATCTCTTCCTTAGCAAACAGCTGGGAGTACGTATGCCCTGCTGCAACAAATAGCTGAGGGGCGCCGGGAAGCATGATACCTTGCTCCCAGGCTTCGATCAGATTGGCATCGTCCCACTCTACTTCCACCGTGTCTTCTTCGAGTTCGAAGTCCGGGAGTACCTTACTCCGGCAAGCGCCTATAACCGACCGTTTGGACTTTGGCGAACGCCTGCGCGCTGTGGGCCTGACCCCCGTATCACGCGCAGTCGCTGCTTGTGTCGCGACTTGAGGTCAAGCGACAGGGGAAGATCTGAAAGCTGGGGGCGTCCGACTAAATCTCACCGAAGCGATGGTGAGCAGCGCTCAAACCTAAGGCTAGGGACAAGAAAATGTATTAGTTAGTGTAAGGTAAATGAGAGAATACAGGAGCTTACTGACCTAGGGACAAGAGGTCGAAACTGAGGTCCCTAGGGCAGCAGAGGCCGGCTTATATACATGGGGAGATTAGGGCAGGCTGTGCACGTTGGTCCGTGCGCAGCTGGTCTGTGCGCAGCATGCCGACGCGGCCACGGGGGCCGGTGAGTCAGAGCGGCTGTGTCAGCGGGGCCCGAGCTGTGCCGTGCGCTGCCGCCCCATCTAATCTAATCGTACAGTAGATAGCGACGCGTCCATATCAGGCAAGTAGTACAGAGGTCGCGGGTTCGAGCCCGCGAAAAGGAAAAATTAAAAAACGGCTAGACGCCGTACCAAGTCGTGACAGCTTGCTCCATTCGGCCAATTCCCCTGGCACTGCACGTTTCAGGGCATCGTGACAATTTGAGGGAGCCCTTTTCCCAATTGATCTCGGGGTTGTGCTAACGTAGCCAGTCCAACCCAACGATTACATCCTCCGGACCGATGTTCGTGACCGTGAACACTGTCTTCTCAACGTGTTCTTCTATGTGCATCTATAGCACCGCTACCTCCGAGATGCTTCCGTCCTTATTTAGGGTACCATCGATATTGTATAGCGGAATCGGTTCTTTCAATTTCCGCGTTTGCACCTTATTTTCTACAATGAATTGCTTGTTGATAAACTTGGTGGTGGCTCCGCTGTTGTCGCGACTTAGGGTCAAGCGACAGAGGATAACCAAACAAGGCGCTGGGGGCGTTCGACTTAGTTCTTACCGAAGCGATGGTGAGCTAGGCTCAAACCTAAGGCTAGGGACAAGTGAATGTATTAGTTAGTAAGGTAAGAAAGGAATACAAATGAGGGCTTACTGACCTAGGGACAAGAGGTTGAAACAGAGGTCCCTAGGGCAGCAGAGGCCGGCTTATATACATGGGGAGATTAGGGCAGGCTGTGCACGTTGGTCCGTGCGCAGCTGGTCTGTGCGCAGCATGCCGACGCGGCCCCGGGGGCCGGTGAGTCAGAGCGGCTGTGTCAGCGGAGCCCGAGCTGTGCCGTGCGCTGCCGCCCCATCTAATCTAATCGTACAGTAGGTAGTGACGCGTCCATATCAGGCAGGTAGTACAGAGGTCGCGGGTTCGAGCCCGCGAAAAGGAAAAAATTAAAAAACGGCTAGGCGCCGTACCAACTCGTGACATTACCCCCCCCTCAACGGCGCATGACCTTATGCGAGGCGCCCTTGCCCATCTCCCATCCGGAGCAGCAGCGTGCTTCAGTCAGTGGTGAAGGCATTGGCTGGAAGTTGAGACCACCAAAGGTAGCAGCGTTGAGGCGGCGAGGGGCGTTTGGATTCTTCCGGTGGAAGTCGGCTATGAGGGCCGGCGCATTGGCAACGTTGCGCGCCGGTTCCCATGACGTATGCGAGTCGTCATAACCCTTCCACTTGACGAGGTACTGCAGCTGACGCCGGAAGATCCTCGAATCCTTGATCCGCTCAACCTCATACTCCTCGTCGCCCTCAACCTCGATCACAGGTGGCTCCTCCGGCTCCCGGCCCGGGATATCGCTACGCGTGTACTTGCTAAGCAAGGAGACATGGAATACCGGGTGCACCGGCACCGATTTCGGCAGGACTAATTCATAATCCAAGTCTCCGAGCTTTCGCCGCACGGCATATGGTCCAAGGCGCTTGGGACTGAGCTTCTTGCTCGGCTGTTTCAGCTTAAGGTTCCGGGCATCAAGCCAGACCTTGTCCCCCGGTGCGAAGACCGGTGCCTCCTGCACGTGCTTGTCGTAGTACACCTTCATACGCTCGGCCGACAGCTCGAGCGCAGAGCGCGTATCGTCGCGAATCTCCTTCAGGATCTTGAGCCGATCAGCGGCCGCAGGCATCGCAGACATCGGATTGATCCGCACTTGGATCTCAGGATTGTACCCTTGATGCAGGAAGAAAGGGGAGTGCCCGGTCGCGGAGTGAACTCGGTTGTTCAGTGCAAATTCCGCGAGCGGCAACTGCTTTGCCCAATCATCCTGCCTATGGCTTGTGAAAGCACGCAGGTACTGCTCGATTTCCTGATTCCAGCGCTCAGTCTGGCCGTCTGTCTGAGGGTGGAACGCTGTGGACAGCGCCGGCTCGATTCCCAGTCCCTTATACACCGCATGGAGATATTTCGAAGCGAACTGGGGACCTCGGTCTGATATGACCTTAGCCGGGGCCCCATGATGCTTGAACACATCGCGGATGTACAGGTCTGCCGCACCTTCTGCCGTCAGGGTCTCATGACAGGCCGAGAAGTGGACCTGCTTGGTAAAGTGGTCGGCGGTGACCAGGATCGAGTCGAATCCATCAGACTTTGGCAAGCCAACTATCATATCGGTCGTGATGATCTGCCACGGGCGCTCGGGGATCTCGTTCAGCTTCAGCGGGCCCTGGGGTTTGGCTGGGAATGTCTTGGTACGGTTGCACACGTCACAGGTGCTGACGTACTCATTGACAAATTTGGACATCCCAGGCCACCAGTAGTTCCACGACACGAGCTCCAGGGTTTTGGCACGGCCGCCATGACCGGCGATCGGCGAGTCGTGGTGGATCTTGACTATATCCCGCCGGAGCTCAGCGTTCTTTGGGACGTACACGCACCCGCGGAACAGCAGAAGCCCTTGTTCGGCATTCCACTCCTCAAAACCCCTTTGCAGCCGGGGCGGCCCGAGGTCCTGCACCTTTTCAAGTGCCTCGGCCACCTCCCGATCCTTCTCCGAACACTCCCTGATGCGCTTCAGAAGCGACTGATCGGCCGTCACCGAGGCATGACCGCGCCTGGCGGAGGCGATGCGGAAGCGCTCTGGCTTGAGGACTATCTGATCGGTGTTATCGTCCTCATCGCCGATCTGGTGATCTGATCGTCGCGACAGGGCATCAGCCTTTCCATTGGACGTCCCGGCCTTGTGCATGATGCGGAAGTCGAAGCGAGCTAGGAACAGCGACCACCGCGCCTGACGACGCGTGAGATGCTGGGACGTGCGCCAGTATTCGAGGTTCTTATGATCGGTTACAATCTCGAACTGATTGGGCAACCCCTCGAGATAATGGCGCCAATCGTCTAGCGCCTCGATGATCGCGAGCATCTCTTTATCGTAGATCTCGTAGTTCCGCTGTGCCGGGTCCATCGCATGGGATCTGAAGGCAATAGGGTGCCATTTGCCATCGTCCTGCTTCTGCATCAACACGCCGCCAGTGGCATATCCTGAGGCGTCGACCTCAATGCGCGTCTCCCGATTGGGGTCGTATAGTGCTAGGACTGGAGTCGTCGCAAAGAGCCGTTTGAGCTCGTCGAAGGCGTGCTGCTCCTCTTCGCCCCAATGCCATGGGTCGTTTCCTGTGAGCCGGTCGAGTGGTCGCGAGATCTTAGCGAAGTCTTTAATAAAATGGCGGTAGAAGTTGGAGAACCCCCGGAACTTCTGAACGTCTTTTTTGTTCCGGGGTACCGGCCACTCATTGATACCTTTAAGCTTCGCGGGATCCATCGCCACCTCATCGCCACCGAACACATAGCCGACGTAGTCGACCTTGGGAACGTCCCATTCGCACTTCTCAGGCTTCAGGAATAGATCATTATCCTGAAGGCGGCGCAGAACCTCGCGTGTGACCTTCTCATGCTCCTCTTTATTGGTGGAGAAGATGAGTATATCGTCCAGGTACACAAGGATCTTGCCGCCGACGATGAGATCGTGGAAGATCTCATTCATCATTGCCTGGAAAGTGGCGGGGGAGTTGGTGAGGCCGAAGAACATCACTAGGGGTTCGTACAGCCCCCGGTTAGTCACAAAAGCCGCCTTCCATTCGTCACCGGCCTTGATCCGGACGTTGTTGTATCCCCATCGGACATCGAACTTGGTGAAGAGCGTGGCACCTCGGAGCTTATCTACCATCTCGGCGATCAGCGGCAAAGGGTAGCGATTTTTGACCGTGATGGCGTTCAACCGGCGGTAGTCCTGCACGGGTCGAAGCGTCCCTTCCTTCTTTTTGATGAAGAAAAAGGGGGACGAGATGGGTGACTTCGACTCCCGTATATAGCCTTTCGCCAGCTGCTCTTTGAGGAACTTGTCCAGTTCCTCTTGTTCGTTGTTTGACAGGGGATACACCTTCGAATGGAACGTCGAGTAGCCGGGCACGAGTTCGATCGCGTGATCATAAGGCTTCCTTTCAGGTAGCCGTTCTGATGCTTCCTTGGAGAAGACATTCAGGAACTCGTGGTACTGTTTAGGTACCGACTCCTCGGCGGTCTTAACGACCTTCTTTTTGATCTCTTCCTCAGCAAACAGTTGGGAGTACGTATGTCCTGCTGCGACGAACAGCTGAGGAGCGCCAGGAAGCGTGATACCTTGCTCCCAGGCTTCGATCAAATTGGCCTCATTCCACTCTACCTCCACCGGATCTTCTTCGGGTTCGAAGTCCGGGAGTACCTTACTCCGGCAGGCACCTATGACCGACCGTTTGGACTTCGGCGAACGCCTGCGCGCCGTGGGCCTGACCCCCGTATCACGCGCGGTCGCTGCTTGCTCCATTCGGCCAGTCTTCCTGGCACTGCACGTCTCAGGGCATCGTGATAACTTTAGGGAGCCTGACTCCCAGTCAATCTCAGGGTTGTGCTCTCGTAACCAATCCAACCCGACGATCACATCCTCTGGTCCTATGTCCGTGACCGTAAATACCGTCTTCTCGACGTGCTCTCCTATATGCATCTGTAGTACTGCTACCTCCGAGATGCTTCCGTCCTTATTCAGGGTGCCGTCAATATTATACAGCGGAATTGGTTCCTTCAACTTCCGCGTCTGCACCTTATTCTCTTC